TCAAATTTAGCAAGTATCCAAATAGTCTACTTACAAAATCACTGTGTCAGTAATTACCCTATAGTATCCACAGATATTTCACTAAGTTATAGTGTCCTTCCTTCTGTAGGTATCAGAAAAGCCGATAACAAGTTGGATATTAAACATTCTTTTCTGAAGGGAGAAACTGAATGGTTTGTCACCATTGTGGCTAATTTACATTTCAGGTAAGCAGGAGGAAACTCTTTTTAATCAGTTTCTTTTCATGTCTCATATTAAAAACTAAAACTGCTAACAGTCAACACTAATTTATAAAGAAATATTTTTCTTAAAAACCTAATGCATACCAACCTTAGAGTTCATAAAGTATACTAACATCCAACCATATGAATTTAGAAACCCTTTAGATAGTGTTCAATTTCCTAATTTTCTCCTAAAGACAGTATCTAAACCAACTGATTTAATTTTCTTAATATAGTGATATATAGAACATAATATGTTCCTTAGACATGGCTACCAAGTTACAAATTACAACTTCTAGTCAAAATAATCTCAGCCATGAAATTGTCTTTTATGTAGTTTTCTTAAAACCTGTCATTTAAAGATTTTTAAATTAGCGAGGATTTAACAGTACAGATTCCTAAAATGTGGTTTTTCTGTTTAGTAACTTTCAGGAAAAATAATCTGTAAACATTTTTAAACTTCTTTAATTACCCATTCAAGAACAGGAACTACCACCAAATAATTTAGAAATTAAAAGACACACAACAGAAAATCATAACACTTCTACAACAAACTGTTTTTAATTTACCCATCCTACTCTTCACACTGGTAGAAGTTATGCACTACGTTTTCAAAACTTACTTAAGCTGATCTCTACAGTACAGAATACTGTAAGACACTTCTACCCTGGATTCCCCAAGTCCTCTCTTCCGGTGTTTCCTTACCACTTTTTTTTCTTAAATAATCCTAACTCTTTTCTTTCCAAATTCTACAGTAATGGTGCTCTCCAGTGAGAGCTACTTCACTTTTTTCTCTTCATTTTGAGCATTCTAGTGCGCTCACCCAGTTTCACATAGTGCAAGAAAGAAGTTCGCCCTGGTGCAGGCTTTTTAAAATGCTATCTCCTACAAGGAATCAGCCATACTTCTGCTAGACTAATCTTTCTAGAATATACATGTGATCAGATCACTTACCTTGTTTAACTCTTAAGAGTGCAAAATCCTTAAAATGGCATACAGTGCCTTCATGATTTGACCTGTGCTTCCTTTCTAATCTCACCTTTTTCCTATTCAACATTATTGATGCATAGTTTTGTGTTTTGATTTTGTCCTTCAAAATGACCCCAATTCAAGTATCACCTTCTATATGAAGCCAGTTATTTGCTCCATATGCACTGCTACCTCAACCTCTGTACATAAATTTATTTATCTGCATCTACATTTCCACTTTTCAATGGCGCCACCTAAAGGCACAACCATAGTAACGACAATTAAATAACTAAAGACCTTGGAAACATTTATAAAGGGAAAAGATGCAATACAACACCAAAAAATTAACTAAAGGGTCAAAAAATGGAAAACACTAAGTTATAACAACTAATTTCTTTTAAGGCTAAATGAGATCTATTTCCGTCTATACAGGTCCAGATGAAACCAACACTAGAAAATTTAATTTTAAGCTATCAGATTCAATTTATAACTGAAACCTGGTTTTAAAAAAATAACTGCTATTCCACCTTTACAACTACAAGTGAAAAATACAAAGTCTTTTTAGTGATAAAAAGTGCTCACTGAATTGTTTGTTCAAGATTTGAAAGTTTGTTACATCAGTAGTCATCTAAAGGAAACATAAATTAGATACATTAACAAACTTTCTATCACTAATAGAAATTTAAAATGAAGAATGACAACAGGAACTACAATCTGCTTTATTCTTTCTTTAAAGGTGCACCTAATGTACCTTTATTACAAGAAAGTTTTAAAAACTTCATTTTTGGCCTTAAAAAACCAACCGGGCCTCCAAAGTGGCACAGGGGTTAAGTAAGATGTGGCACCTGCAGCCACTGCAAGAGAGTTCTATCCTCTACCAGGGAGAGGACCCACAGAGCACAGCAGACCTTTGTCTCCCCCACTGCTCTTGTCTCCTTCAGTAGATCTGCCTGTTCTGCTCCCCACTGTCTCTGATGAATCCTCTCACCCATCCCATCTGTACTCTAGTTCTTGTATGCATATAATAAGTCTTCAAAAAAAAATTTTTTTAAACCCTAGTTCACTTCCAAACTATGAAAAATGGGCCTTAGAACTATTACTCTTTTTTATGCAATATTTATAAAAGATCATTATTATAAAGTCATAGTGGAAACATGAATTAAATTAAATATAATCTTGATACTAAAGGAATCTGAGTTAATAAAATGTATCACAAATTGTGTTTATTCACATTACACAAAAGTGGCTGGGAACTGTTTTCCTTCATAAATTCTTATAAAGAATACCACCTCAAGGATGGATTAGTAATACTTGATGAGGAAAACAATGAGCAGAGGATCCTTTTCTTAAATGCAGCATCTGTGAAAAGAAAAAGACAGCTCATTTCTGATAAGTTATTACAGATTATCTCCCTGTACTTGTTTCACAACATCATACATCTATTTATTAATAAAAATATAAAACCTTAACAAGAAAATTAGAAGGCAGAGGTCAAAGTGGTACTCAACAGAATGGAAAAGGTAGGAAGCAGGCAAACCAACTCATCACCCCCTTGTCTAACAAGAGAAAAGAACTTTCAGCTTCCATACTACTTTTTACACAGCTTAGTTTGAACTTTTTCCATTAAAGTGTAATTATGTTTGTCTCAGCCATACAAATTACAAGTTTCATCTTTGTATTCTTAAAAAATACAAAAAAGAATATTTAAACAGCCTTCCTATTTTTAGACTCAGAACTGACAACTAGGAAGTCCTTGGTTTCAAAAAAAAAATTGGGGTAGAGATGTTCTAATTTTAGTAAAAGTACCCTGTCTTTTTATATTATTATTATTGTATCTCCAATAAGTTTACATTGGAGGAAAGGTGAAAGAGGACACTTGCTGACACAAGCTAGCATTAAAGGCCTGTCTTTTCAAAAGTTGTATACCCACATAATTTTCTCTGAAACAATCCCAGAACGCTCCTAACCTAACTGCAGTTTTTTCAGGGCAGTAGCACCAGAAGAAACTACTTCTTATCTAAACCTACATTCCTTTCCCCTTTAGATCCTGACTTCTGGGAAAAACTTTTGACTCTGATATTCTGCAGAAGTAATGTTGAGTAATGTTTCCAGCAGAAGAAAATCAAAGCTGTTCAGCTTCTTCTTTGGCCCACACTGATCAGTACTAAGTCACACCAAAAATTAACATAACAAATAGGGCAATTAAGGAGGTAGTTTTCTTTTTAAAAGGAGGTAGGTACTTAAAGCTCCACATTCATTGGTGCTAATACCTTGGCCTCCCTTCCCCCCTCCATTTAAAGGCAGTAACGTGTAAGTAAATCAAGAACGGTAAAAACAGATTCACATAAAGGGTTATGCAGAATGAAACTTTAAAACTTTCAATTTCAAAGTGCAATGCAATCCAAACAACAGTATTCCCCCAAAAGTCTGTCTTTTTCTTTACCAATCTAAGAAGACGCTCACATGAAAGAAAAAAAAAAAATTCCCGTAACCGTAAAAAGAAAAAGAAAAAAGCTAATTACACTCGGCCTTCTAATGCACCACTGTAAATTATCCTTAGGCTTTCCTACATTCCGACAGCGTGACCCTAGTCCGCAACACGTTAGTGGTAAAAGCACTGGCCCCAATCATTTTAAGGAACGCTAGATCGTGACACATGGAGGTTACCAAAGAATAGCTTGCTTTAAGAGTACTGACACTGACAAATAAGCGGTCCTGACGGCTCCGAAAAGTTACTCATCTCAGCCCTCGTAATGACGCCAAAGGGAACTTCAGGGAGTGACACACCCAGGGCGGACCGCCACGTTAAGGATACAACTCTTCCGAGGTGGAGAGGGCTCTCGCCAGTTCTGACTGCTGCTGAATCCGGATCCCGCTCCTCCCAGAGGAGGTCTGCCCCCCGGCTTGCCTCCTCGCTCCCCCACGCCTCGCCCCCGACTCCAGCGACTCCCACCCCGGTAAGGCCTGCCTCGAAAGCGGAAACGGTCCAGGGCGAGGTGGCTCCGTTCCCAGAAGGACGGCCGGGGGCTGCTTTCGGACAGTGAGCTCGAAGGCATTCGCACGGAGGGGGGGTGAGACCGGAATGGCTCTTTGGGTCGGTAGCTGCTGTGTCCCCTGAGGTGGCCCCGCTCCGACGCATGCCGCGAGCGTGAGAAATTCCTCAGCTGCTGCTGAGACGAGGACGACGACGAGGAGGAGCCACCGCCTCCGCCAGATCCACCGCCCCGGCCCGGGTGAGGAGGCCTTCGTCGCGGGTATGGTAACAGCCCACCGCCGCCGCTGCTGCTGCTGCTCCGGCTCCGAATCTGACTGTTATTATCGTCGTCACTGATCTCCCCGTCTTCCAGCTCCCCTTCTTCCTTGGGCGAGAGGCCACTGGAGGCCGGGGCCGGAGTATCCGCGGTCGCCATCCCGAGATCAGCGCCTTCCACCTTAGCCCTCCGTCCGGGGATCCGCCCGACTATTGCCTTCTTCCTCGGTTTCCTTCCTCCCTAACGGACCTGGTCGGTGAGGTATCGCCCTACTCGGACTCCTAGTGGGCTTTGCTCCCCAACTTCCCCGCACCCCAGCTCTTTCTCGCCGGACCGTCGCAACCCAATTCCCTGCCTTAGCGCCCCCTTGCTCCTCCGCGATCGGGGCTCTTCCGCCTCGCGAGAAAGGGGCACTTGAAGTGGCTTGCCCCGTACGTCATTTCCTGAGGCAAGCAGGAAACACGGCTCCCAGTTCACGCGATAATTGTCAGGACAACGCGATGTTCACTGGGACCTGTAGTCTTTCCAGCCTCCCGGGGTTGGGATTTCCAGCCTATGGCTCGCAAGCGTTCCAGACTCTGGGTTGGGATATCTGGGTGCGTGGTGCTGTGGGCGGATTTGCTTTAACTCTCCGCGACGAGAGTTTGGTAGTAATCGGAGGAGGTGGAGTAATCGGCTCGTCTTTTTGATTGCTCGGAGGACGGCTGTCGAAGAGACTCTGTAGTCTGGCCTCCTTTGGGGGTCAAGGGCGGGGGAGGGTTTTCCGCCATGTTGGTGAAGGCAAATGAAGGCGACTGGAGCTCCAAGACTGTCGGCTCTACTGGCTCAAGTCCGCCATATTAATAAAGAGAAGGAAAGGTTGACATTGCTCCCTGACCCCCCCAACCCCCAGCCCCCCGCCACCATCACCACTCTACACAGACACAAGCACACCCCTTATTTCCCACAATAGCTCGGTAGCCCGTCCCCTGACTTCCTGGCCCCTTCAGTGCCCTTAGGAAGAGTAGCAGCCAGCGCTTCAGAACTGGCTTAAGACAACACCGAATGAGGGGGAAAGGGAAATGCCGACCAATTGCGCCGCGGCGGGCTGTGCTACTACCTACAACAAGCACATTAACATCAGCTTCCACAGGTAATCTGGGCAGGGACGTGGGGGGGATGACGGGACGGAGCTCCTAGATTTGGGTATCGCTTGTATGGAAGGAACCAAGGGTTCTACCAATTCGAATTGCCTGGCTAGCAAGTAGTAGAAAGCGTTCTTTTTGCCCTTTGTGAGTTTTTCTCAAATCTTCGATTTTCCCCTCACTTCAGGGAAGGTTTTAGCCCCAAATGCTAGTGAATAGGGTGATTACTCCTTAGAGAAAAAGTGACAGGAGGGTACCTTAATATTCAAATTCTTTTCACCTATACATTAGACCGGGTTTTGACGCCGTAAAAGCGGCAAAAGCTTCCTGCTCAAGTTTGAAATCACCTTAAAATTCCGCAGTATTCCCGTTAAATTTAGGAGATTCTCATTAGCTGAATTGACGTGGAAACATTTAGATTTCTAGTAGGAGGAAATGAGTCCTCTTTAATAGCCACGGAGTGTATGCGATGTTAATGAAGCATAAATGATAACCTTTCCATTACCAAAACAGAGTAATAAAAATAATCCAAATTTCCTTTTTTCTTCTTTGCTGCAAGAGCAATCAAAATTCTTCATCAAACCAAAACTCTTGAAAGCACTTTGACCACTACAATTAATGTTTACCTTATCTGCAAGGGCATGCCTGAAGGAAAGAAACATTAAAAGTGCACACAATTCTGATTTTATATTTTCACAACTTAATATATCTTAGAATGTTGAAAACTGTATCCTGACCGTTTCCCTCATCTCATTATGACTAATGTACCCCTTTATTAAAAGCTACCACTTAAAGTCCTTGTGATGTTTCTGTTTTTCAACTACCGCATGCAAATGTAGAGCTGTAATTCAGCTGTCAGATATGTACAGGATCATTTGGTTGACATTGTGCTAGGGATCTGTAAAAGTTCTTGGCCTTTTGTTGGAGTTTTTAGAGTAGTGGGAAAGGAAGACAATAAATTACAATAAAGTGCCACAGAAAAGAAAATATGAAAGACTTAACAGCTTTGGAATGTCAAAGAATACTTGTTCAAGGGTGACATAGATTTCATCCTTTATAATTCTACTTTAAGGATTTTTTGTTTTATCCAATGAGTACTTGAAAGGTTGAAAGATTTGAAAAGAATGGCATGGTTGGATTTGCATATTAAAAAGCTTGCTCTGAGTGTGGATAATTACAATATTTAAAGTGGTAGTGGAGCAGCACCAAGAAGACAAATCTGATGGAAAAAAGAGCTTATTATAGAATGTTAATTTATCTCTTGCTTCGTTCACAGGGAAATTCTAATTCAGTGTCAGCTGAACTTAATAGTGTATTAGTTGCTGGCACTGGATTAGAAGAGGTTAAAGTTATAGAGAAAAAAGTTAGGAACCTATAATAAAATCTGAGATCATCCACCCTGTGGCCTACACTAAAGTGTAGTACTCAAGGTAGGGGTGCAAAGAAAACAGACATATCTGAGAAATATCTCAAAGCTACTGTACTTGGTCATTCCATCTAGAAGATGATGAGAGTCAAGGCATCAATAATGAATAGTTAAAGAGCTGATGCTGGGCCCTCCCTGGTGGCTCAACCTGTTGAAGCACAGTACAATGCAGCTCTCCCCAGCCACTGCAGCATGAGTTCAATCCCTGGCCAGGGAAGTGACCCATATGGCTTGGCAGACCTCTCCTGACCAGCCCGCTGCTCCCTTAGCAGTGTGTTTCAGTAGATCTGCCTGTTCTCCTCTCTCTGTCTCTGGTAAAATCCCTCACACCCAACCCTGCACCTCTGGCCTGTACCCCAGTTCTTTTTAAAAAAAAAGCATGCTAGTATAATAACATGCATACCTCTTTTTTGTTTTTGACCGGATGCCTATTAGGAAATTAATATTTTCAGTGTAAGCCCAGAAATTTGTCTTAAAACAACATTTATGTATAATAAAAATAGATCCTACTTCATAAATGCAAGATTTAACTCCTAGGACATTGGACTTATCACCATTAACAACTAATGTTGCCTAAACTGTTTCCATTTTTCTTGTAATCAGCCCAATTGGTATAAAGCTCCCCAATAATCCTCTGAAACTGCTATTACTATTGCTAAGCTGAGGTGTCTTTCTTACATTGCTTTTCATGGAATGTGATTATTTTCTCCTTAAGAAACTTTCTACTTTTGAATTACCTGACACTAATACTGTTATTTTCATTTTACTTCTTTTTTTATTAATTTATTTTTGTGTAGAAGAACTGCGATATAGGCCAGAGGTACAGGGGGGATTGGTGGAAGAAAGAAAGGATTCACCAGACAGTCTCTACAGTGGTGAGCAGAACAGGCAGGTTGACTGAAATACACTGCTGAGGGGAGCAGCAGGTGAGACAGGAGAGGTCTGCTGTGCCTTGAAGACTAGCTCCCTGGCAGGGGATTGAACTCATGCTGCAATGGCTGCAGATAGCTTCAGAGTGCTACAGCTCAACACCTTGCACCACCAGGGAGGCCCCCAAACTGAGTTTTTAAAGAAAAAGTAGGTTTTGGTTGAAATAATATTCAATTTGAGGACACTGGTCTCTTAATTAGGGACCTAGGTTTAAAAAGCTTAAGAGAAAAGGTTGGGAATCCTCCCTGGTGATGCAACAGGTTAATGCACATACTACAAAGTTAGAATCAGCCACTTCAGTACCAGTTCAATCTCTGGCCAGGGTGGTGTGTCCCACATGGTGTGGCACACTGCTGTCTCATCCGCTGCTCCCCTCAGCAATGTACTTCATCTATCTATGCCTGTTCTGTTCCCCAAGCTAGTGAATCTTCTCACCCCCCCACACACACACACCCCACCTCCCCCTCCTTCCACACACATCTGGCCTGTGCCCCAGTTCTGTATGTATAAATAAATAATTTTTTAAAAAGAAGAAAGGTTGGAAAATAGTATCTGAAACACAGTCTTGCATGGATGATAACACAATGATAATATTTATTCTGAGTATTGAGATCCTAATAAGAAATGCTTATAAACTAAAACTTGGTATTTAGCTTAGGCCTCGGAAACATTTCCAAACCATAAAATAATGAAACAGATTTTAAATGAGAGTACTCTATTATTATGAGGTGAGAGGTAGACAAATAGATAAATTCCTTTTCAGAGGTTTCTGATGAAGTAGAAAAACATTAAGAACTATAGTTATATACAAATGCTAATATCTTCAGATAAAGGTATGTTTGGGGTTAGGAGAACAGAAACAGAAGATGGCAGGCTACTTTACCAGTAATCTGGGCTTATATTTCTTTAAGCCCTAACTGCTGGTATATTGAGTAAAAATGGTATTTTTGGGCCTCCCTGATGGTGCAAGAGGTTAAATTTCACCACTATCACGATAGGCAGTCACTGAAGCATGATTTTGCTCTCTGGCCAGGGCGATAACAAACATGGCACAGCAGAGTTTCCCTCAGCAGGATTTCAGTAGATCCACCTGGTTTTTTTTTTTTAAAGATTTATTTATTTATTCATACAGAACTGGGGTACAGGCCAGAGGCTCAGGGACGGTGAGAGGCTTCACCAGAGACAGAGTGGGGAGCAGAACAGGCAAATTGACGAAGTACACTGCTGAGGGGAGCAGCGGGCGGGCCAGGAGAGGTCTGGCCCGCCATGTGGTCTCCTCCGGTGCAGGCGGCAGGCGGGAATCGAACTCATGCGGAAGTGGCTTCAGATTCTCAGTGCTGTGCTTAACCCGCTGCGCCACCAGGGAGGGCCAGATCCACCTGTTTTGCTCCCCACTCTGTCTCAGGTGAATTCTCTTGTCCCTCCCCTACCCTGACTACACCCCAGTTCTTGTAGACATAAAGATAAAAATCTTTCAAAAAAGAAAAGATTCATCCAAATACAAGAAAAGACATAGATTACCAGCTGATTGCTCAAAGAAAGGAAACAAACTTACAGGCCCTAGGCGTGGTAGCTTTGAGCCTTAACATCTATGCCACCAGGAAGTTCCATCAGTAGAATTTTAAAACAGTGCCCTGTATCAGATACATAGTGGCTGTATAACTATATTTTACATTTGAAATAAGTGTAAAAACAAAACAATCCTTTGGGTTTTTCAGTAGCATTTTACTTTTTGTAATAATTAATGCTTTCTACTATATCACACAAGAGTTGACTTTTAATATAAGCAGTTTAGCCAGATAAAAGTAATACCGTGAATTATTAAATATTCTGTATTCATACTACATAAGCAAATTTTTGAGTCTCTTATGTTTACAAGATATTGTGATAAGTGTTACAAATAGACAAAAATAAATGTCCTGTCTGTAGGAAACTTGTAATCTACTTTTATTTCACTGGAAGTTATTAAAATGGAAAGGTTATAAAACAAAGTGATATAACAAAGGAATAAAGAGGAAAAAATACCAAAATCAATCTAGATTTCCCCTGATAAAATTTATTCTGTAAATTTCTCATTTGGTTTTACAATGTATATCAACATGTCAAGCATTGTGACATTGTCACCTAGATTATTTTTAGTGCCCAAGCTAAGGACCAATTTGTGCAGAAAATGTCTTTAAAACCCTGAAAAATAAAATCACAGAAATTAGGGGAGGTTTTTATAAGTACGAACTAGTGTTTCTTTCAGTGTCTAGATTTTTTTTGTAAATGTAAGATTCTTTCAAGTATCACTCTTAAAATTTCTTTTAACCTTTTAAGTGCAATCAGAAGTATGACAGTTGGAATCTCCATTGCTGTTTTTTTTTTAAAGGTTTCCTTTGGATCCTAAAAGAAGAAAAGAATGGGTTCGCCTGGTTAGGCGCAAAAATTTTGTGCCAGGAAAACACACTTTTCTTTGTTCAAAGCACTTTGAAGCCTCCTGTTTTGATCTAACAGGACAAACTAGACGACTTAAAATGGATGCTGTTCCAACTATTTTTGATTTTTGTACTCATATAAAGTCTATGGTAGGTAACGTTATTTTTCTATTACCCATTTTTACCATTACTTGAACGTGTTCCTTTTTACTTATAAAAATAAAGCAATTCAGAATGTATTGAAATTCATATGTAATGAAATGCCTCAAGAAAGTTGCAAAACTTTTGTTTACACAATAAAGGTGTAGGCTAGAAGAGCTTATCCTTTTTTTTTTTTTTTAAGGTTTGTTTATTTATATGCACACAGGAACTGGGGTGTGGGCCAGAAGTGTGGGAGTGAGAGGATTCACCAGAGATAAACTATGGGGAGCAGATCAGGCAGATGTACTGAAATACAGTGCTGAAGGGAGCAGCAGATGAGACTGCAAAGGACTGCTGCGCCATGTGGGTTAGCTCCTTGGCTGGGGTTCAAACTTATGTTGCAGTGGCTGCAGGTAGCTTTATAGTGCTGTGCTTTAACCCCGTGAGCAACCAGAAAGAACTCCCAAGCTTAGGCTTTTTACACCAATATTTTTTACCCAATCCAAACTCTTTCTATATTGGGATTTTTCATTATTCTCAATTATTATAAACAATTTAACCATTGCTAAAAATGAGAAATCATGAATAATGGGAATTCCAGTATCACTCAGCACTTAGTAGTGCTCTAAAGCTCAAGTTCAAGAGCTGCATACCCAGAGGATACCATGGTTATATCAGAGAATGAATATAATTCTAGGGAGAAGCATAACACTAAAATTTATAGAGCCCAGATGTGTAGGGTTTGGAACTCAAAAGTGTTTTTGACAACTTTTTTCACAATTGCAGTAGCACAAAAAGAAAAAAAAGCCAATGATCTGAGGTGTGGAAAATAATAAAATGGTAGCAAGCATTAAGTAAAAAGAAAAAAAGAGCTAAGGGTGGTGAATGCATGCAAACAATGTTATCTACTTAAGGAATATCTTAGAAAAGGCCAGGAAAGGTAGGATGATTGAAAGTTAAGAAGGCATATAATGAACAAAAGAAGAGTGTGGTATTTAAAAGGACAGACACCTTTTCATCTGAGAAAGGGAAAAACGCTTTTTTTGAAATCATTTATGACAGTTAAATTCGTAAATGCACAGGAATTAATAGCTGAACAAGCAAGGAGGTTGTAATAAACTAATTATTGCAGATAGTTGAAAAGCTCTAAAAGGCAACTGTGTCTTTTTCACTCTGAATCACCTGTACCTCTATAGTACACACAAATTTACAGTACATTCAAGTATATGTTAGAGCTGAAATATATTTCATTTTTGGCATTTTAATCATTTATTGTTTCAATAAATATTTACCAAATTTTATGTCAGAATCTAAGTTAGATGCTGGGGCCACAGAGATCAAAAAGATTCTGTGCCACTTCCTTTATGCAAAGGGATTATCATCGATTGTAGGTTTCATAAGGACAGTAGTCATATTTGTTTTATTTACGTGAATAGAAATGAATTTACCTGTGTTTCAAAAAGACGTAACATTAGGGTTTATAATGGAAACTGAGTTGGTTAGTATTACTACAGAATAAATCAACATGGTGAGTAGTAGAATGGGATAAGATCCTAACTGGTTCAGTGAGCCATGTAAAGATTTATATCTCTTGATATTGGGGAGGCAAAGAGGAATTAAACTAGTTAGAAAAATTATTCTGGTGGGCCCTTTCTGGTGGCACAGTGGGTTGAAGTGCAGCATTATGAAGCTAGCCATAGCCATCACACCTGCCAGGGAAGTGACCCACATGGCATGGCAGACCTCTGTTAACCCGCCCACTGCCCCCCTCAGCAGTGTATTTCAGTACATCTGCCTGTTCTGCCCTGCATGCTATCTCTGGTGAGTCCTCTTACCCCCTGAACCTCTGGCCTGTACCCCAGTTCTGAATGCATAAATAAATAAATCTTTAAAAAAAATTTATTCTGGTGGCAGAATATGAGTCCATGAGATGAAAATGAGGTGGAGGGCAACAAAAAAGTTTTTTTTAATGTATTCAAACAAGATATGATGTGGATCTGAGATGGGTACTAGCACAAGAATAATGTAAAAGGGGGCCTACCTGATGGTGCAAGGGATTAAAGCACAGCTGTATGATAGCATATCCTAAGCCACTGCAGCATGAGTTCAATCCCAGGCCAGGGAGGTGACCCACATGATACAGCAGACCTCTCCTCTCTCACCAGCTGCCCCCCTCAGCAATATACTCAATCTGCCTACTCTGCTCCCCACTCTGTCTCCGGTGAAATCCTCTCACACACACACAGCACCCCCCCCCCCAAACCTCTGGCCTGTTCTTGTATACATAAATAAAGCTGTAAAAGAAAAAGAATAATGGAGAATGGAAAGAAGATCAAAGATAGAGATACTTAGGAATTAGTACTAATAGAATAACTAGTTGAATGAAAGAGATAAAAGGCAAAAAAAGATTTACAAGTTTCTTACGTGGGGTGAAAGGAGAAGTTCCCAGCCAGATTTTTAAATCCTTGAATGAAAAATAAAACTGAACAATTAATAAAATCTATTCAGGAGGTCGATATTTGGGAATATGTTTTTATTAAATGGGATCCCAGGGCCAAAAATATTTTCAAGTGAAGAAAATAAAAAATTTTAAAAAGTAGCTCATTACTACAAATAAACAAAATGTCCAAGTACTTTGCCTTGGCCTTATCAAGAAATTGCAAAGGATTTTTAAAGTCTCCATAGAACTACACCTACTAATTTGAAAGAGACCTAGGATATCCATTGCCTATTTCCAAACCAATATTTGTAACTGTTTGGACAGAGAAGACAAAAAAGAAACAGCTACCTGGGGTTGATTCAACTAGTTGAAAAACGTGAACCCATGATTGCTTGAACTGGACTGCTGATATTTCCTAACAAGCTTTTTAAATTGGCTTTTAAAAGAGCAGTTTAATACGGTTATGAAAAACTCAAAAAAATTACTTCTATTTGTGATATTCCCTAACTTATGTTCAACCCTCTAATTTCATTTGGCTCAGAAACTCAAGTCAAGGAATATTTTGAAGAAAAACAACAGTTGTTCTCCAACTGGACCATCTAATTTAAAATCAAATATTAATAGTCAGCAAGTACTACTTGAACACAGTTATGCCTTTAGGAATCCTATGGAGGCAAAAAAGAGGATAATTAAACTGGAAAAAGAAATAGCAAGCTTAAGAAGGAAAATGAAAACTTGCCTACAAAAAGAACGCAGAGCAACTCGAAGATGGATCAAAGCCACCTGCTTAGTGAAGAATCTAGAAGCAAATAACATATTACATAAAGGCACATCAGAGCACATTTTACCAACTGCCTTAAGCAATCTTCCTTTGGAAGATTTCAAGATTCTTGAGCAAGATCAACGGGATAAAGTTTTACCAATTCTCTAAATCTAAAGCAGACCAAGAGTACATTTCATTTAAGATTGGCCTTCAAAAAACTTGATGCCCGTCATTCATTTATTCAAAGGTAAAGATATTAAAGATATTTAAGGAAATTATGCCAAAATTGGGTATTTAATAAAGTTCTACTTGAAGTAACATTATTACTATAATTTATGAAGACTTGATTACAAAATTAAATGGAAATTTTTTATTTAAAGAATGGAAGTGCCTTATATGAGAATTACATGCTTAAAATTTTTGCTAGGCAACTGTATGCTCGCAAGGTGTTTTGTGTTTTTGTCTTTTTAAATTTTTATGAGTGTGTGTTTAATTTATAATAGAAAATTTTTTTCTGTACCAAAGTTGGAATTTTACATTCTAAAAAAGATGTAAGAGTTAACCAACATTAAATATGATGTTTAAAACAACTGGGTTTTGTATTTATTATTGTTGACACTATGATTTATAGTAATTATAGAAAGAGAAACATAGCTTTGTTTTCATTTGAATTTTTTGTTATCTTTTTACTAGTAAAAATGAACTAATCTTGACCTTCCTCATAAGAATATTAGCTTTTAAGAGAGATTATAAAATTTTTGAAATAAATAATTTTGAATGTGAAATACTCTGGAGTCAATCCATAATAAGTAAGGCCTCAAGTACCTCAAAACTAATAAAAACTCATAGATGATTATGTTCACCTAAGATACTGTATTGTGAATTAGCATGCTATTTCAGAGATTGGGATCCACATTTTACCTTGATCAAACAAATAGATAAATGTATGCAATTATTTTTCTTGTAATAAAAATATTACAGAATTTGTATTTCAGAATTGATGCATTAATAAACAAATATGCTACAAAGTTTCATATTAGAAATACCCCGTTGCCCCTAAATGTGTTGATACAAAAAACTCTAAATTTTTCCTACCCATAAACCCACAATAAAATTTAATCATAGAAAGCTCTTACCATACTTTATCTTCACAACTTACAATTTAAATGGAAACAATTTACCTTACACATAAGCTTGCTTTTTATCTCCATTTTTAGTAACATTCAAATAAAATAACTGTGGGCCTCCCTGGTGGCCTGGGGGTTAGGGTCTCACCACTATCACCTGAATTTAATCCCTGGCCAGGTAGCTAACCCACAGATGGCACAGCAGACATCTCTTTCTCAACTACTACTCCCCTCAGCAGTATATTTCATTAGATCCACCTGTTCTGCTCCCTACTCTGTATCTGGCCATACAGAGGATACTCTGTATCCTCTCGCGCCTACACCTTTGGCCTATACCCCAGTTTTTACATACATAAGTAAATGACTAAATCTTTTTTAAAAGAATGCATTAATAAATTTGTTATTAATGCTATTTTATTAAAAGGAAAATATAACTAAATAATACATTAAATTTAAGCCATGATGTTTTATTTAAAAAAAAATCCTATGCTAACACAGGTTATAAAAAAAATTCAGTCTTGAAAGTTGACAAAACACTGTGGCACCCATTAGTTCTCTTGTTCTTTACAAATATTGTCTGTATTAGGGCACAAGCTCTAATTTACAGGTGGGGAACTCTGTTAATGTAGTTTATTTATTCAGACATTCATCTACTTGTCAAATGGCACAAGAAATGCCAGTAATCTATAATTTTAGACTGCTACAGATTTCAGCCTCCAAATCCTCTTCTCTGCCTTCCAAATTATAACCTGTTAAACATAATCACATTATTGAATAGGACAAGTCATATGTCTCAAATGAAATATCTTAAAGATAATCTATTAGGTCAGTGTTGATCTTTTCTAAGTAGACTTTAGGATGTTGATATTTTATCTCATCTCTCAGTGTTGGGAAACAGGTAAATTCTAGTAGAAGATAGAAAATAGTTCATTTTTATGCCAGTACATGGGATTTTTAATATTTAGACAATTCGAAACTTTCTAAAAGTAAAGACTTTACCATGTAAACAAGTGCATATTGTAGTCACAAAAATTATATTGAGCATGTTATCATTAAAAATATTTTCCAAGGAAATTCCTGTCCTGACAGTTATTTCCCATAAATGTACATTAATCTTAATCTTAAATTTGATCATAATTATGGGGAGGAAGAGAGTTAACAGAGGTTGGAGAAGAGTTGCTTATCTGCAAGGAATGTAATCTTAGAAATTTTTTTTCTTAGAAATGTTTAACCAGAAATTCTGTTAGGTAGAAAATGGCTTTAAAATGAACAAAGGCTTGATGAAAGTTTTTTTAAAACTTGAAAATTTTCACTATCAAAATTTCTAAAAGTTATGGGTCTATAAAATCACATTTATGGGAATATATTTTAAATACATTAATCCCCCCCCAAATTATTTCAGCCTAAGCTAAAATAACTTATTTTATGGAGAACAGCATCAATAATCAGAAACTAGGGAAAACACGAGAAATATTCATTTGATCAGTCACCAATTGATTAAATGTGTGGGGTTTTTTGTTTTTGTTTTTGGGTTTTTTTTTTTTGCCCTAGAAATATAATGTGATAGTCAGTTACTGTTAACCCAGGCCAAAAAAAAAATTTTTTTTTTCAATTAAGATGTGAAACCGGCCATAATACTTGGGTTTGTAACAAGTCGTTCTGCTTTTTTTTTTTTTTTTAAAGATTTATTTATTTATGCATACAGAGCTGGGGTACAGGCCAGAGGCTCGGGGCGGTGAGAGGCTTCACCAGAGACAGAGTGGGGAGCACGTTCTGCTTTTTTAATGAACCAGTTGAATGCACTTTCACACTTCACATCTGAGGGGTGTGGATCTACAGAAATTTCCACAGTGCAAGGAGTGTCCTGACAATGCTGCTTTGAGAGCCCAATAAAAGGATTCAGTTTTACCTTTACACGTCTAGCAGTCAGCAGTATCTAGCACATTACAGGTACTGAACAGTAGTTTTAAATGATGTCCTAAGTCACAAAATTCCATTTCTACAACACAATACGAACATCCTCATTTCCCTAAAATAAAAAAAATCAGATAGCATGAACTCTCTATAGACGAAAAAGCATTCGAGTATCATGACCGAAATGGATTCCTGAGTCAGAATTCACTTGCATTCCTTTATTCTAACACTATCCAGCCCGCGGTGACACTTTCCGGTTTAGTTTGCCCTCAAACGCAAGGACGTCTGGTTCCAGCAGTAGAAGCTTTACACACCCGCGAAGGCCAGGTTCCAGCCCTCCTAGGATAGAAGAGCCAACGCCCACAGGGCGGGGAGGCGCCCTTTAACCGCCCACGTGAGCTAGCTGACCACAACTCCGTCCTGGGCAGCTGCGGCGCAGGCGCGGAGGCGGCTACTAGCTACAGGAGCGGGAGACAGGCGTGATCGCTGGCCGAGCTCTGGCGGCCGCGTTCCCAGCCCGCTGGACCAGGACTCCGGGAAGTCGCGGACCGCCGTCGAGACGTGACCGCACTCCGCGGCGCCGCGATTCGCCAGCCTGCGGGCTGGACGCCCAGCGGCTTGGCCTCGGACCCTGCGGCGACTGCGCGTCGGCGGGCGCTGGGCGGAGCTCACCCTCCCGGGCCGCCGATTGGCTACGTGACTTCCCTTTTCACCTTCCTGGCCGCGGTGTTGGGGTGTAGAGAAGCTCGGGCCTAGGGGTCCGCGCTTAGAGGGATGAGCTTTGCCGTATCAGTGAGGCGTTAACCTTGTCTGGGGAGTTTGAGCTTCACCAGCCCCCGTTTCCGGAAATAGTTTGGGTTTCTGTCATTTTTTCCGTGGATGATGGCATTTATGTTCGCCTATCAACGAGTGTTTTGCTGGCCCTTTAAATGACTTGAGTTTTTTCAGAAACGTTATCGATTTCCCCCCCTCGCAGGTGCTTAGATCCTTCTTTTCCATGTCAGATCTTGACGACAGTATATGCAAAAAATATATAAGGATGATATCTAATATAGTTATATTGAGCCTGATCATTTGCATTTCTTTAGTTTTCTGGATTATGTCAATGACTGCAAGCACCTATTATGGTAAGTGTGAAAGTTCTAAGTTGCTTTTCTAAAATAATCAAGTACGTTGAAATTTAAAATTGTATCTTTGTGGATGCCAACACTCACTTCCTCTGAATGGTAATAACGTGTTTATTTGGTTTTTCACAGCCTGGATTTAATTTGCTAACATGAAAATGTAAACAGTGCCTTAGATGTTTAAGATCGTTAATAAATGTTGCTTGTCTTGTATCTATTTCAAAATAGTTTTCTATTTTTGGTAGTGATTTCATCTTCTTGGCTAAAAACTAAGTGAGTTGAACCATTTCTGTAAGTCTTGCTTTTAATAAGAATATACTAAAATGGTTTTTCCATTTCTGGTGTCCTGTAAGAATAAGGGTGAAAATAAAAGGTGGTATAAGGCTTACATTTGGAGATTTGGAGGATTCATCCACTGCTATTTGAGCTCTTCAAATAGATGAGACTCCTTTTAAACTCTTAAATTATTTTTCATACATATAAAATCTTCTGGAATTAGATTTTAAAGTTTTCAAGGCACCTTAGACCTTAACACAAACTTACTTGATAACTCCTATAAAAGCAGCATATTGTTCCATTCCAAAGAAAACATGGAAAGTAGGACAAGAAAGCAAACTCATAAGCGGCTTGCAATTTCAGATCCTAGTCCTTGCCAAGAGACCTGTGAATGCTTGCTGGTGCTTTCCAGGGTATAGCTTTCAGGACTGTTCATTCATAAAGATTCACAGTAGAGGTTGAGGGTTTGAAGAAGAGAGGTATGGAAGGAGAGGATTCCTCTTATTGCCCATAGTAACTCTGCTTTGAACTAAGTAGAATAAACCAAGATTTGTAAACTGAAATGTCCCCTTGGGCCTGGCTCTATTGCAAATATGTGAAGCTGTCCATATCCTTGAACATTGAACACATGGGAATAGTTTTCACTTCCAGTAATACATTTTCCCATGTTTTTCTATTTGTCTTTCTCCATTTTTTATAGAAACATGAACATAAACAATAATTTACATTTTTCTTTACTATAATCAATGAACCTTGCTGTTTAGAAGCCTGTCAGGGATGGATGGGGACTTTAAAAGCAGAAAACCATAACCTGACAAAAAGAGGAGGCCAGTTTTCATCTGAGATCAATTCTGCCACAGGGGTGTGAACTTCCACTCTTAAAAACACACTAAAACTCTGGAGTTTAGGCCTCACTGGTGGTGCAGGGGTTACAGTTTCAGCACCTGGAAGCTAACCATCAATCACCAACCACTAGGCATAGTGCTATCCCAGCCAGGGAGGTGACCCACATGGCTCAGCAGACCTCTCCTTCTTACCTGCTGCTTGCCTCAATAGTATATTTCAGTAGATCCACTGTTCTGCTCCCCACTGTCCCTGGTGAATCCTCTCACCCTCTATACCTCTAGCCTGTACCCTAGTTCTTTTTTTTTTTAATATAATGGTTTATTTTTACATCATTTTGTGCATTTTTTCATCTCAGTTATAATGCCCTTGGGCTTCCAATCACCAAATCATCCATGTACCATCACCAAAGTCCAGTGCATTTCCCTCCCCCCATTGTTTTTGAGCCCATTCCCCACTCCACCCCCATAAATTGTCTCTGGTATATAACTGTTCATTATTATTATTATTTTCTTGCATGGTCCGTTACACTCCTGCTATGAGTGAAACCATTGGTATTTTTCCTTTTCTTTCTGGCCTATCTCACTAAGCATCTTTTCCAGCTCATCCATGTTGCTGCAAGAGGCATGAGTTTATTTTTTTTTGTTTGCTGAGTAATATTCCATTGTATATGTATACCATATCTTTTTAATCCAGTCATCTGCTTTTGGGCATTTGGATTGTTTCCATGTCATTCCAATTGTAAATAAAGCAGCAATAACCCTGGGGCACACCCCAGTTCTTATATGCATAAGTAAATAAATATAAAACTTAAAAAAAAACCCTGAACTTTTATATGAAACCTCTTAACCTTTAAATATGACTCAAATTGTTTGAAACAGTATGCAAGGCAAACAAAATATCTGTAAGCTGGATTCACCGTTGAAAAAATCAGTTGCTAGCCATTGAGTCCTGAGATGTGTCAGCCTGGGAGAATACTACCTTTAAAAAAATAAATAAATAGGCCCTCCCTGGTGGCGCAGCGGGTTAAAGCACAGCACTGAGAATCTGAAGCTACTTCCGTATGAGTTCGATTCCCGCCTGCCGCCTGCCCCGGAGGAGACCACATGGCGAGCCAGACCTCTCCTGACCCGCCCGCTGCTCCCCTCAGCAGTGTACTTCGTCGATCTGCCTGTTCTGCTCCCCACTCTGTCTCTGGTGAAGCCTCTCACCGCCCCTGAGCCTCTGGCCTGTACCCCAGTTCTGTATGAATAAATAAATAAATCTTTAAAAAAATAAAAATAAAAATAAATAAAATAAATAAATAAATAAATAACTCTGAAAAGAAGAGACAGAAATAATGTAATCCTATAATACAAGGAATTTGTTCTATGAGTTGTGTTGAACCTTGATATTTAATATGCACCTCCATTCCAAAAATGAGCAGGATTATTTTTAAGTTTCTAGAAATGATGAAATGCCCACCATTAGAAATAGTTGTAAATGATTCTCCTACTTACTTGCTCATTATAAGAGTGTTTCTCTGAAAATGTATTAAGGCTCAATGTGTTTTACTTCAGTGACTTCATGTCTACTTATGACAGTATTTTAATTAGAATGTAGTTATCAAAGTGTTCAGCCAAGAATAACCTGTGTAGGTATGGCACAATTTATGCTCTCCATTTATAATTTTTCAGGTAATTTACGTCCTGTTTCTCCTTGGCGTTGGCTGTTCTCTGTTGTTGTTCCTGTTTTGATCATCTCTAATGGCTTTAAGAAGAAAAGTCTAGATCACAGTGGGGCTTTAGGAGGTATGTTTTTATTTTGAATTTTTAGTTATAGGCTGAGTGCTTATTTATCATTTAAACAAATATTTTCTAAATTCCAAATATATATGCCACTAAAGGGACCTCCCGCTGAAGTCTCATGATACAGGCTATCACCAACCACTGTATCATAAGTTCAATCTCCAGCCAGAGAGCTGACCCACATGGCACAGCAGACCTCTCCTGACTCCCTTTAGCAGTGTATTTCAATCTGTCTGTTCTGCTCCCCACTCTGTCTCTGGCAAGTTCATTCAACCCCTGCACCTCTGGCCTAATCCCAGTTCTTGTATATATAAATAAATAAAAATAAATTTGCAAAGATTTATTTTTGTTAAGATTTTTATTACTTATGCATAAATGTCTTAAATAATTTATTTATGCATATAACAACTGGGGTGTAGGTCAGAGGTGGAGGGGTGGGGTGTGTGTGTGTAAGAGGATTCACCTGAGACAGAATAGGGAGCAGAAAAGATAGATTCACTGAAATCCACTGCTGAGGAGAGCACTGGGCAAAACAGGAAAGGTCTGCTATACCATAGACAGGAGATCAAACTCTAGCCTCAGTCACTGGAGATAGCTTGATAGCACTGAGACATTAACCCCTGTGCCACCAGGGAGGCCCTAAAATTAAGATTATAAATAATAATGTTAGGCATTGCTCAGCATTTCTTGTCACTCAGATTTTCAGATACTGACATATCATTTAATGTAACACAGTTTTAACTTTATAACTGATATCAAGTAGATGAATAGAATATATTTTTGAGGACTTGCATTTTCTGCTCTTTTAGTTGGATTAAATAATCCAATATGTACCTCCCTGATGGCGCAAAGGGTTAAGTCTCAGTATTTAATGGTGCAAAGGGTTAAGTCTTGAATTCTCTCATTCCTGACACCTCTGGCCTACACCCCAGCTCTTATATGCATGAATAAACAAAATAAATCTTTGAACAAAAATAAGTAACTGTTTTGCCCTGGTTTCTGTGACCAGCCACAAGGAAGAAAGACAGGCGACAGAAAGGCTGAGCAAGTAGAGTTTATTGCTCCTGGGCAGCAGCTGAGATGGAGTGCTGTAGGGGAAAGTGTCTCTTATATAGCCTTTAGGTTCAGATTCTAGAAAGCTGACGTGTCACTGTATTCCTGGATGCAAGACCCGGTTCTGGTCATTGTGTTATCACCCATCTCTGGTCACACAGGTAGCTGTTGTGTTACTGCCCATATCTGGTCACACTCAACAGTAACATGTTATTTGAAACATTGGTACACTCCTTCTTGGCATAAAATGAGGAAACTTTGGAAAGAATAGCTCTGCTCTTAGTAATCAAGCAGAGCAATCCAAATTAAGTGTCCAAATTAGATCACTTTATTTTAAGATTTGTTTGTTTATGCATACAAGAACTGGGGTACATGTGGGGGAGGGTGAGAGGGTTCATCAAAGATACAGTGGGGAGCAGAGCAGGTGGGTTGAGTACACTCCTGAGGGGGAAGAGCAGGCAGGACAGGAGAGGTCTGCTGTAACATGTGGGTCACCTCCCTGGATGAGGATCAAACTCATGCTGCAGTGGCTGCAGGCAGCTTCTTAGTGCTGCCTCAAACCCTTTGTGCCACCAGGGAGGGCCCCAGACCATTTACTTATCCTTTTACCAAGTATTTATTAAGTACTTGCTATTTTTCACTCTTCAAGGAAATGGGAATTAGATTTCAGTTTTTATGGAAATTTCCTTCCTTAGGACAGATTGATAACAATAAAGTAACACATTAGTAATTAAAAAAAAATTCCTAAGAGTTTTCATGTAATGACATAAGCAATATTAAAGATGATAAAGTGTATATGTTGCAGGGACATGGGGCATTTTTTCTGTAGGGGAAAAAGGGGAGATTCCAGGTTGCCTGCCCCACCCAATAGAGGCTGGAGCTGAGCAGACAGGAGAAGCTGGAGAGGAGCCTGGGGAAGGAAGCATGATGGGAGCCAGAGGGAGACCTGGAGGAGGCACGTGATGCGGAGAGACATGTGAAGAAGTTGTGCTTGCTTCTTGGTCCTGGACTGGTTGAAACAGATGTGGGTGAGAGACCAGTGGGGAGGCTAACAGTGGCAGCTTTTATCTTCGTTTTGACTTGCTCTTTTCCTCCCAGACCTGCTTGACTACTTTTGACTCTTATCAAGCCAGAAGGTGCTTGAGACCTGTGGCAGGCTTTTGGGCCTTGCTTGAGCCAACCCTGTTTGGCTGGATGTTTACCCATTAGGGGTGTGTAACTTTGGTGCTTGATTTGGAAACTATATTCTTGCCCTTTTCTGTATTGCATACTAATTGTATTAAAGTTCCTTTCCCTTAAGGTCTGTATGTTTTGTCTTGATGTGACAGATGGCAAAACCTATTTAAAACAGGCAGGTTTGGGAGTTTTGGGTGCCCCTTTCCCTGTCCTGTAGCAATAACACTTCTCAAAGAGGTAATTTTGAACTGGAACATGAAGAAGTCAATAGCAAGAAGCATGTTGTATCTGACAGAATAAGGAGTGTAGAGACACTGACATGTAAAAGATTTGTTTGCTCGGGTGTGAGACTAAGTATCTTTGACAAGAACACTGAAAAAATGGGAAAAAAGGGAGACATAGATTTTGAGGCAAAAGGTAAGGGGAGTTATTATGGGGGCTTCTAGGGCACTGTAAAGATTTTTAGTCCAAACTAGTTGGAATCCCCCTGCCTCAAATTGTTAGCAAACTGAATGAGGTGCACCCCAGGGTCCCCAAAACCACCCTGCTCTAAACCACCCTGCCATATAAAGACAAACATGCTCTTGGTGCTTAAGACCTGAAATAGAAAGTAATTAGCGTATAATGGAGAAGAGAGTTCAAAGAGTTTCCCTCAAAAAACACACAAAGTCACCCATCCCTTTGTAGGTAAATTCCCAGCCAAACATGATTGGCCCAAAGTGAGGTTACTGAGAACCGAAAGTTTGCTGCAAGTCTAACCCAGAAGTCTTCTGGCGGCAGAAGAGGCCAGCCTCGCATGGCAGGAAAAGAACAAAATCAAAAACCCAAGTCAAGATAAAGCCGCCATTGTCAACCTCTCACCCACATCTCTTTCAAGTGTTTCCTGTCATACTGCCAAGTCTAAGGCTGAGGTTCTTCATATTTCTCTGAGCTTCAGGTATCTCCTCCAAGTCGACTTTTTTTTTCTTCCTAAATCCCCTCCCAAGTCTTAGTCCAGTCTGTTTTTAGCATTTCCTCAAAACTCAGCTCTATCCTTTCTTGGGTGGGGCAGAGGGAACCAAGAATTTCCCCTTTCTGTGTACATCAAGCTGTTTTAAAATCTGGAGATAACACAATCTGATTTGACTTTAGGACTTTAATCTCCTACAAGTATTTTAAGCACAAAGACATAAAATATTAAAAAATCTGGCTGTGGGAAAGCTCAGGGCCCTCCTAGTGGTACAACTAGTTAAAGCACAACATTGCCAGCTGGCCACAGCAGTGGCTTCAGCTCGAGTTTGATCCCTGGCCCTGGAAGTGACCCTCATGGCACAGCACACCTCTCCTGTCTGCCCACTGCTCCCCTCAGCATTACTTCATTAATTGGCCTGTTCTGCTCCCCACTTTGTCTCTGATGAATTCTCTCACCCACCATACCTCTGACCTTAACCCCAGTTCTATGTATATAAATAAATAAATCTTTTTTTAAAAAGCCCATATTTCTACTCTGGGAAAATAGATGACATGTAAAAAAGGGTTTGAGTTTTTTTAATCCCCAGCAGCAGATGCTGTAAGTGAAAGAGGTGCAGAGCAAATGAGTGTTATCAGAACAGGCCAATGATGGTGTTAACACGTGTACTCAAGAGAGTGTCCTTACCTTTCTGTGGTTACCATTGTTTAGGCGTGGTGTTGAGTTTTTCTGAAATAGCTGATATTTCCTAAATATCAGGTACCCACAGTTGATCAGATCCCAAGAAAACCAGCTTATGCTGCTTATTGTCTCAAGGAACTAATACAGTTGGAATCTTGCTTTATTAATCTGGTAAAATGTAGAGCTAGTAGGCTGCCTGAAATTTAAGTCTCGTTCAGGCTTTCTCTATTTTTGTAATCCATCCACTTGAGAAGTCAGATTATAATTAGGTTTCTTTGGTGACTTGAGAAGTCAGATTATAATTAGGTTTCTTTGTTGACTACTGTTACTGAGTAACAGTAATGCAAGTCCATAGGTCAAAGTCCTCTCCCTCACAGGGCCCTTGATAAGTCTGTCAAGTTGCCTGTCAAGGGCCTCCAGTTCCTATAGCCTTCATTGATAGAGGTTATGAGTAGAAAACTTGGGCTGAAGGTGTCATAAGACTAGAAACTGGAGATGGGGTAGAAAGATTTGCATAATTGTTAAGTTAGCTATTAAATGAAAATCCAGGCCACAGGAAAAGCACACTGCTATAGAAAGTTTCTGGATTCAGACCAGAGGTGAGGATATGGATATTGAGGGACCATTACAAAGACTCAACAGTCCTTAAAAATCATTACTATGGGCTCTCCCTGGTGGCGCAGCTGGTTAAAGCGCAACACTAAGAAGCTAAAGCCACTTCAGTTCAGCATAAGTTCGATTCCCACCTGCCCCGGAGGTGACCACACGGCGTGGCAGACCTCTCCTGACACCAACACCAACACCACCCCCTACCCCCACCTCCGCTGCTCCCCTCAGCAGTGTGCTTCGTCGATCTGCCTGTTCTGCTCCCTGCTCTGTCTCTGGTGAAGCCTCTCACCGCCCCTGAGCCTCTGGCCTGTACCCCAGTTCTGTATG